ACATCCTGCCTGTTTAACAGTTGGGTACAGGAAGGCATGGTGGCAAAACTAAAAGACACAAAATATGGGGCAAACAACTGTCAGAAAATGAAGAATTCAAAAACTAAGAAGGAATATAATAAGGACAATAAGGTGTAGGGAGTTGCTTCCTTTCACTCTACAAAAGGCCCTGTTACTTTAACTCCTTTAAGTGTGAAGTTGTGAAATGCAATATTGGGAACCTGGCAGAATATGTTCTTTGAAAAAGTCTCTTAGTTGTCAGAAAGGGTACCAAATTGAGGCAAATTACAGTTAAGACAACACTCATAAAAAGTCTTGGATTTTGATTGGATCTGCTTGAAAATTACGTCAAAAAATGTCAAAAACTTTGTCAAGTGCTCTTAGGAACATTGGCCAAACAATAATGACGTAAATTTTACTCCAGTTATCGAAAATCCACACGCCTCTTAGATCTTCTCTTTTTATGTTATAATTCAGTGATAGTTGGATAGGTATGGATCAAAACAGCTGTTACTATCAATCAACACTGTCCACTAGCGATTGACCACCACAGCGTCAGCTGAAACCATATAGTTAGTAGAAAGGGACTCAAACGTGTCCTACCTGTGTTACGATCGGTGATTTCAGTGCATGGCTGCATCTTTCACAAATACTTTGAGCCAACTGACTCATAGACTTGTGATAGAACAAAACCGCTGGTGGTCGGGGTACATAGCTTGCTTTTTCGGATAAACCTGAGTCCGCCATCTTTGTTTGTTTCTGCTGGTCGGACGAGTGGAAACTGGGGCTAGCATTTGTGTTGTAAACTTATAATTTTCAGTTAACAGAAAATTCATGTCAATTTCCCTGAATAAAATTATGGTATCTTTTTACCTTGAAATGATAAGAAATGTAATTTCAGAAACAAAACAGCTTAGAATCTTTAGAGAAGTCGTTGTGTTGCCTGAGCCACCAGTCGCAGACACTGTTGGTGTCAGCGGTTTTCTTGGACAACACAACACAACATTGCTCTGTAACTTTGCAACGATCGACTTTTTAGAGTGGATTTTCATCGAATTTTGCAGAAGAATATTATTTTGACATGTCTGTGAGAACCATAGATTTCACCTCCAGTGCATATGCTAAGACAAAGAGCTTCAAGGCGAAAGAAAATACGACATCGGCCTCGAAAATAAAGGAAAAAAGAACAGCTGAAAATCAGCTTTCAGGCGTCAAAAGTTCTTGGACCCCGCTGAAACAAGATTTAAATGAAAAGGTCTGTTTTTCGAACACACTGTTTCCTCCTGTGTTATATTTACAGATTAATGCAAAAACAATTAATTTTGCAGCTCTTTGATGAAAGGAAAGAACTTGTCAGCAACTGGGTGAGTTTAAATTCATGCTACATGTACAAACTCGTCTGTACAAAACACCGCGAGCACAGCAGTATCACTGTTATGTCAATATTATATTAATCGCTTGTTATACTTCAAAAAGTCATCTTCACAAGGCTAAGTGTATAAACTTACTTATGGCTCCATACGTTAAGGATTCACCCCCCCCCCCCCACCTGGGGATTTACCTTATGTTCTTTTTTCATTTTTTGTAGTTTGCCACAAAAATATATCTTGGTCCCAGAGGTTTTTCTTGAAATTTTTTGTTCACGAAAGAGAGAGCGAGCAGTGAGGCAGCAACAACAAGTTGCAAAGCAGTAAGGAGAGAAGAAAACCTCACGGACCAGGGTAACAAAAGTTTTGTATCAAAAAAGTATCAATTTACTCTAAATGAAGGAGAATTAATAAAATTATATCGATCTCCTTCAGTCCATTATTTCAAAGAGGTGATATAAAAACATCTAAGGCCATCAACAGAATACACAAGGAACAGACCCTTTATACTTGTGTTCATTCATCAAGTGGATATCAAGTGGATGCAAGGGAAGGAAGTGGCTATGAACACAGCTGGGTTTATTCTGCTCTCCTGCCGGATTCCCACTGGAATCCATGATAATTTTTTATTGACACCTTTTGTTATACGGGTGACGGCTCTAAAGTATAAAGAATCATTACAATTTACTTGATTCAGTTCAGGTAGTTCTTTGTGGCTTTCATAATACATGTAAGCTTGGGTGATTTGCATTTTTAGCCATTGGTTCACTTTTTAATTATAGCGCAGACACCTCAACTTTGTTCCTTGGGAAAAATGGGTCAGCTGACTTGAAATTTGAAGATTCACCAAGAAACGAAGCAGGCTAGTGCTTATTGAAAACAAATAATACAATATTATTAATTTTGTAAGCTCAAGTTTGCTTGTTACTTCAACCAAGATTGATACTATAGCAGTAACTTTTTCTTGTAATTAGTTCAATGTCACTTGACTACCTGCTATGACAGTAACTGCAGACACTACAATCAGATTCTCTCTTGTCTAGTGCAAAGTTAATCCAAGTGTGTGAATCACTGCGGTTAATCTTCAAATAGAGTAGCCCTTCATTCATAGCAGTGGGTATAATCTTTCATTGACAAGCTGCCTTAACCCTGAAGTGTGTCACAGAGTCTGTCTCCAAAGGTTAAGAGACACTGTGGAAGGACACAGTAAATAGCAGTCAAATAAAAGTATTTTTTCGAGGCATGGCCACCTCCCCAATGTACCTTTGCAGTGGCAACTCGCCCCTCTACTTCTTCTCTCTCCATTGTCCCAGTTGGAAAGTAGGGTACAATAGCGGTAAATGATCTTGCTAATAACCTGAAATATACAGTGTAAATGTACTCATCAATTATCTTTATTTCCAAATCTGTTATTACCAGACCCCCTGCCCACTCCAATCCCTCTGATAAAGTGGTTTATTAATTTTTGGAAGGTAGCAGGTAAACCATGGATATTCAAGCATCTTTTGTAAAAAACAGCTAAAAAGTATATACATGTATGACGTCAGTACAATACTTGTTCATATTTTGTTGTTGTTTGAGTAGAAGAGTGAGTAGAAGAGTGAAATCTGCTATTAACATCAGTATCTATTAACATACCTCGGGATTTTGTAAAGAATAGACAGCTGCTCAAACACAACTTCTGGGGAGTGAAAACTGCCTAAAAAGATGACTGCAAAAAGAATCAGAAGTTAACTGTCACCAGTAGCGTAGCTGCCTTTAAGCCATTAAGTCTGGGCTTAACAAAAAATTGGGGTTAAAATGAGCTTATGTAATCACATGTGACAGGGAGTGATTGCACCTATACATGTCAATAAAACTTATGCCATCCTCTCTTTAACTTGTTTCCATTTCACGTAATATTTAGAACATTTCTTGTAAAGCGCCATTGGGCAGCGCTCGAAATGGTGCTATATAAATAAAGTATTATTATTATTTACATTATTATTATCAGTGCCAGAAAAGCCACACGTGCGATCTATCAGAAAACAGCTAATTAAACAGCTGATTCCCAGGTGTAGTGCACACAAGCCAGAGAAGTGCAAAAAGGTATTTATGTCTCTTTTGAATTTGACAGGTGTAAATACAGATCTTGATAAATAATTCAGAGAGGCTTTTGTTGAAAACTCACTGCTTACGACTCATATTTGAAAGCAACATTTTAAAGCAAGTGGGAACAGCTGTGCTGTAGTTTTGATGTAGCTGTTTACATGTACAGTTCAGCATCCTCGTGTCTTGCTATTTCGTCCTCAACCCGCTTCATCCTCCCCTCTACCCCCTTCAGGACTTCTACAAGTTAGGCTTAAAAGGAAAAATGGCTGGCTACACTGTACACTCCTGGTCACTTACAGTACACAAGTCAAATTCATTTCAGTAATTTTAAAGGATTGGAAAATATACAAAATGAATACCCGCAACTAGCTTGGCTAATTTAAGTTGGTATAGCAAATAAAATAGTGATAATAAAGTAAACATCTATATCTACAAGAAAATAACTAAATAAATAAATGAATAAATAAACAAATAAAAGCTGTCCTTCCCTGACCTTACATGAAAACAGTCATAGCTGGGGTTGTTTTAAAAAAGCTGGGTTAAATGTTCCATAACTGGGGAATTTCTGTAGGACAAAGCTCACCATCTCTTCCTGCACAATCTTGCTTCACATTTTCAATAAACAAATTTGGCCAGCCATCAGGGAATTGCTGCCATGATACAGATCTGAGCTCTACACTCTGTTGAAACTGAAGAAGTCCTTTCTGTAATAAAGATGTGGTAAAGTAAAGATGTTATTCTGTAATAATTCGGAAAGTTAACATCCAGCCTGTTTAACAGTTGGGTACGGGAAGGCATGGTGGCAAAACTAAAAGACACAAAATATGGGACAACCAACTGTCAGAAAATGAAGAATTCAAAAACTAAGAAGGAATATTATAAGGACAATAAGGTGTAGGGAGTTGCTTCCTTTCACTCTATAAAAGGCCCTGTTACTTTAACTCCTTTAAGTGTGAATTTTGTGAAATGCAATATGGGGGAACCTTGCAGAATACGGTATCTTGTTTGAAAAAGTCTCTTAGTTGTCAGAAAGGGTACCAAATTGAGGCAAATTACAGTTAAGACAACACTCATAAAAAGTATTGGACTTTGATTGGATCTGCTTGAAAATTATGTCCAAAAATGTCAAAAACTTTGTCAAGTGCTCTTAGGAACATTGGCCAAACAATAATGACGTAAATTTCACTCCAGTTATCGAAAATCCACATGCCTCTTACAAATTCCTCTGGAATTTTCTCTGTTTTCTGTTATCATTTAGTGATAGTTGGATAGGTATGGATCAAAACAGCTGTTACTATCAATCAACACACTGTCCACTAGCGATTGACCACAGCGTCAGCTGAAACATTAACCATATAGTTAGTAGAAAGGGACTGAAACGTGTCCTACCTGTGTTACGATCGGTGATTTCAGTGCATGGCTACATCTTTCACAAATACTTTGAGCCAACTGACTCATAGACTTGTGATAGAACAAAACCGCTGGTGGTCGGGGTACATAGCTTGCTTTTTCGAGTAAACCTGAGTCCGCCATCTTTGTTTATTTCTGCTGGTCGGACGAGTGGAAACTGGGGCTAGCATTTGTGTTGTACACTTATAATTTTCAGTTAACAGAAAATTCATGTCAATTTCCCTGAATAAAATTATGGTATCTTTTTACCTTGAAATGATAAGAAATGTAATTTCAGAAACAAAACAGCTTAGAATCTTTAGAGTCTTCTTTAGAGAAGTCGTTGTTTTACCTGAGCCACCAGTAGCAGACACTGTAGCTGTCAGCGGTTTTCTTGGACAACACAACATTGCTCTGTAACTTTGCAACGATCGACTTTTTAGAGTGGATTTTCATCGAATTTGTAGAAGAATATTATTTTGACATGTCTGTTAGAACTATAGATTTCACCTCCAGTGCATATGCTAAGACAAAGAGCTTCAAGGCGAAAGAAAATACGACATCGGCCTCGAAAATCAAGGAAAAAAGAACAGCTGAAAATCAGCTTTCAGGCGTCAAAAGTTCTTGGACCCCGCTGAAACAAGATTTAAATGAAAAGGTCTGTTTTTCGAACACACTGTTTACTCCTGTGTTATATTTACAGATTAATGCAAAAACAATTAATTTTGCAGCTCTTTGATGAAAGGAAAGAACTTGTCAGCAACTGGGTGAGTTTAAATTCATGCTACATGTACAAACTCGTCTACAAAACACCGCGAGCACAGCAGTATCACTGTTATGTCAATATTATATTAATCGCTTGTTATACTTCAAAAAGTCATCTTCACAAGGCTAAGTGTATAAACTTACTTATGGCTCCATACGTTAAGGATTCGTTGACAAAGGAAATACCATTTATTTATTCTTTGGGCTTACTAAAAGCACCTCCTTTTTGTAATGGATTTCTTTTATTAATTTTGCAGTTAAGTTTTTAGCTCTGACAATGGTATTTAGTAGTGTTTGACTTGCTTTTAAACAGTAATCTTATAAACTACCACAGCGTCACCTTTCTTTTTCTTCTTTTTTTCTGGCTTAAATTTACTGGCTAATTTACTCGTCACAACCACCGAATTACAGCGTTTTGTATGAGAAATTACAACAGGCCTCATATTATACTGACAAACACTTGTATGATCAGAATAAAAGTATCTGTTGAATCACTTCATTTCACGTTTCAAAACTTACCACCTTTGTTTCAATGACTGTGATGAAATCATAAGAAAAACAAAATCCTTCTCATTAAATTTGTTCATTTCATGATTTCAGTTTGACAGATGGTCAGATGCTCAAAGAAGAATCATTCTTGAAATCCTGATATCAAAATGCAAGAACTCTCAACTACAATACACATTCTCTTTGATCGATGAAAGAATTCCTATAACTCATGTTGATTTCACACGGAAACTCCCACGAGTCATAACAGTGTACATCATGTCATTTCTGGATCCTCGAAGTCTTTGTCGTTGTGCACAGGTTTGCTGGTTTTGGAAATATTTATCTGAACTAGATCAGATCTGGATGCCAAAGTGTTTCAAGTTTGGTTGGTTATTGCCGTTTGTACCGACTCCTTATGAACAGGGAGTTTGGAAGAGACATTACCTTGAGTGTGTGAGAGGATTACAGTACATGAGGCCTAAGGTAAAGGAAAGGTTTTCCGTTTTGCATAATGTGCTAAATTCTGGTAGGAAACATGTATTCAACCAGGGCTTAAAAAGCTTGAATTCCAGCTTGTCCTTTGGGGAAGCAGCTCTCACAGTTTGCCTGCTCAGGGCCACTTCTTGCTTGTGTTTGTTAGTGATTCACTTGTCTTAGAAGATGACTTGCCTGGTTTCTTGCCTATTGGGCAGTTGAGCTATATAAGGTACTTACCAAACAAGAAAAATACTATTGAGATTATTATAGGCAGGGTATTTTTTGAACCCTGATTCAACTCTCTCCTCCACAGAGTTTTCCTGTGGGTATAAAATGAAATTACTGAAAAATAGTACGGGTGCAGAGTATGATTGCTCTGCAGGCTTTGTTTTCACATATCCCCAGCCTCAGAGGAGAAAGCCTGGAAGATCTGCCAGTTGTTTGAACCTGAGTTAAGTTTTTACATAAGGTGGATAGCTTTATGTGCTTGAAAAACCTCATCTAGCACATAGGTAGTGCAACACTTATCCACTGAATGGTGATTTATCAGGGAGATGGCCTTTATATTTTGAATAACTTAAGTTTGTTGTTTATTTTAAAACAAGAACTTTTTTTTTCTTTGTTCTTGACACCCTTGTATCTTGCTATCATGTTCAGAGCTTAATGGCTCCAAAAAATGTTGAGACAGTCAAACATCTCATAATGAACTTACCTCTACAAAATGGACACATCTTTTTCAGGGAAAGTTCTTTTGTTCTCAGATGCAAAATTTTGTACAATTCCTTCCACTTTGAAGCAAAAATCTCTTTCCCTCTGGTGTCCATATTAGGGAGATTTCACCAATTTACAATCACACCACACTTAAATCGACTTTTGATTCTATTAGAGACCTTTTTAGGGAGGGAGGTACATATGCTCCCTTTCTGAATTTCAATTGCGGTCATTTTGCATTAATTTTGTAGTCCTGAGTAGGCCCTGTCCTGACAGTATTTAACCCATCTTTATGTCGTTTGTGTCCATTTCATGTAGTGGTACATTGCTGTTTTAATGCCATGTCGCTTTGAGATTTTACCCTGGGACCTCTCTTTAATCTAGGAAATATATTGCCTGCATGGCAGCTGCTCCATTTCTTTTTTTTTGCTCCTTTAACATGGCATATGGTATAAAAGAATGTTAAAGCTGACATTTTAGGAACTGGCTTCTCACTGGTCTGTGTTTGAAATGGAAGCTTTTGACCCTGGCCTACACAGTAGCCAATTCACCATTTTTTACCTCAAAGCACAATAATTATTTTCCATGTTTTTCCTCCCACCTCTAACAAATTGGTCACTTTATCCTTTAAGCCCCAATATCCAAATACAAAATCTCCGCTTCAGACTGACTTCATACTATTGCATACAGAATTGGTTGAGAGAAATTGATAAAAGGTCAAAGCATTTTCTCCTTCATGATTATTAACTTATTGGTTCTCGTAAACTTGATCATTAATTTATAATTAGGAATGAGAATTAAAACACAAAACCTTTCTTTAACAGTCACCACCAGGTTCTCCAAAGGTAGTTCCCGCTGAAAAAACAATATCACGGAGTCAGAGTCATGGAAGCTTGTTTAAAAAGACAAATAAAAAGCCAGGAGCAAGCCATGATGTCCCCCCATGGAGGGGTCCAGATCCTCGTCCTAATGATATTAAAAGAAGGCTAACTACTGAAGGACATGTAGGAGGGTGCAGGTGAGTGTTACAGCTGCACATCAGTTTATCATGCTCTCATAACCTTTGTTGGGAATTATGCGCCAATAGTGTGCATACATATTTCGTAGTATATTTTTATCCTTTTTGCTTTATTATATTTCAGTTTGATGGCAACGCTGATTGCTAAATAATTAGCTCATGATCTCTGATAAGTTCAAGGAACAGTCATATAGTGAACCGTGATAACTGATAAGATATTTGGATTCCTTAATTGATATCGTGGAAATAATGCTAAATGTCAATCACTTTGTAACACTATAGGTTAGGTTTCATGTGTATTGGCATTTGGGGGAGTCAAGGGGAGAAGATCATGCTATTAAAACCAACTTGTTGCCGAAAATATTTGTGAGTGAGTGAGTTGCGAAAACTGTGACTTTATTGTGAATAAAGCTACATCAAAAAGATGATCTGCTGATGTTGTTAGGAGAAAATTGATGTTGGTCAGTCTTGAGACCTAAAGGATTAAGGTGGAGTACATTGTATTCACAGGACTGTGCTTCAAAAGGGCCCTATGGCCCCAGCCTGGCACCCAATTTTTGCTCTCTCCTTGGGCTAGTCAATGGTCAATGTCTGGCCAAGATGACCATTTATCCAGAAAAACGTTCGGTTTGCAGGTTATTTTGAGTGGACACATTTAAAAATAAGTGACCAGCAAAGAAGATATATTTTTATACTGTCCATTAGACTTCTGAGGTTTCTATCATGAGGACAAGTATGACTATCGTTTTTCACTTAACGTTTTTGCTTATTAGAATAATAATTTTAAGATATTGACCAGTCAGAAGGGAGACATGACTGAGCTAAAATTTCTTTGGCCAGTCAATACCACCGGCAACAGCCCAAATTTTTTTTAGCCCTGATGTCTACCTAAACTTTTTCATCTGTGACAAAATCCCGAACTCGTCTCCAGGGGATTTGCATAGTAATTTAATAAAGAGGTTATAAGTCAACAATAATGTATTTCCAACAAATTTTCTGGTGTTTGTATAATAAGGGCAGTGATCTGGCCGGAGATATACGTTTCAAAAAAGAAAAATCATATGCAGGCCAGAGCATTGGAATATGCAACTTTCCCACAGAAATGAAGGCAAGAAGGGAGAAGGAGGGGATGGGGCTGACAGAAGAAAAGCAAAAAAAGGACACCAGAGCAGATGGCAGAAGTCAAAAAGGCAATGGCGTTGCGTTGTCCAGACTTGAAAGATTGGAAGTTTGCCTCCTGTTTCTGCTTGAACTTTGTAGAAAACTGTGAATTGGCATCAGAAAGAAAACCCAGCCTAGTGCTTGACTCAGTTGTAAACAATGTTTTCGAGAACAAACCATACATACATTGACACTTTTTTTGTTTTTGTTTTTCTTTGTATCAAGACGCTGCCATATGTCTTCACATACAGAACACAGTGATCAACACGAACAGACGCCTAAAAAGGGAACATCAGCTAAATCTGGCAAACCAAGAATACGGCCAGCTACGGTAAGACTATAGTTAAACGCTTTAGGAGCCCATGAGTCATCTCATATTAACTCATATTAGAGTAGGTGGAACATGTTGTCCGGGAGAGTATAGCCTGAGAAGACAACATTTCACGACGTTACCACTGGTTTTCCCGCGAAATGGCGTCTAAGAAACGACTGCAGATATTCCTTACTGATGACTTGTCACTACCCAGATCTGTTAAGTGCTTCTCATTGGTCCTGCCAAGAAGGGAAATTTGCCTCAACCAGTCAGAACCATTACCCAGATCTGGGTAGTGATGCGTTGTCCGTAGATGTCATTTCGCGGGAAAACCAGCGGTGGCGTCACGGTGAAATAATCGACTGTTGTAGTGAGCTACAGAGAGCGTAGTCCTAAATACGACTTTTGTTGTTGACTGTGTGGTAGCCATCTTATTACAGTAGCCTTATTACAGTACTTCATTTTGTATGATCATACTCAAATCCTTTTATTTTGCACACAGCCGACTGGAAAAACTTGCTTATAACAGTGACACTGCATGCAAGCAGAGTAGAAGAAATTTCGATTTACGCGCTTTAGAAGAGGATTAAAATCGATGTAACAAAAAATACTAACAGGTGAAACAGGATAGAAACAGAAGAAATACACTTTCGACAAATTAAGTCTCGGGGTTATTATTCACGCAAAATTCATTGACAGGTTCTATATTTCGTGAAGTTTACTATTACCCAAGAGTCACGCATTAAGTAAAACAGAACACATGCAGTTTGTGTATCAAATGTATCATTCGTTATTTTTAACATTTCAGGCAAATTTTGCACCCGAAACTGAAGCAGCAGGAACCAAGTTTAACAGCAGATCTGGGCGACCAGACTGGGCAGTACAGGCAGCCATAACTCCTGTCCGAGCAAATCGTCCACCACCCCCAGAGCTGAAACCCTCGGCGCAGTCTCTTGGAAATGCAAGAGGGGTCAGAGATCTACCAGGTATATACTAGCTGCACGATGCTTGTGCGTGGTATACTCTGAAATATTTCCAGAGTGACTCACTATACTAACTTACATGCATATACAGTGTATACTTCTAGTTCATATTTTGAAGAGAACCCGTAGCCTGGGATACCGCGGAATACGCATGTTTTTTTTTCTGCCCTGTATTCTTCGGGGCATTGGATAAATGCACGTGTACGGGTACATTTTTTAAAGCTGTTAAAGGGGCTATGTCACGGCAGTCCAGTTCATTTTGTTTAAGTTTGCCAATTACTCGCCTTCAATCGCTATGGAACTTTAAGTAAGCAAAGAAATTACATGTAAATGACAAAATCAGAGTCTCCTGAGCATTATTTTTGAAGTTGCAAGCAGCAGGGATCAACTTTGAAAAACTGTTAGGTTGTACAGTTTTCAAAAATCCTAATTTTAATCCGTTTCAATCTTCTTCAGTTTTGCCCATCCGTGACATCTGTTGTATCTGTTATGTTATTTTAACCTTCCTTTAAAGTTTTGAGCGGTTATTTTTATGTTTCTCTTGATTCAACGGCCATTTTGTAATTTCCTAATTTGGTTGAATTTCATGACACAGCTCCTTTAACTTGAAGTTGATGAACCTGTAGAATAAAAGATTTCAAGGTGGTTTGTAAATCAATATGGGCTTGGCTTTAGCTTTCGTGGGAATGAGTTCCTTGTACTAACAACTGGCTCAACATTTACATCGACTAAGTTGCTTTTCTTTTACTCTTCTCTTCTTTGTGCTACATTTATATAAAGCTACGTACAAGGCCTCGTTGACCCCCAGTTGGGTGTGGTCTATCTGTCATGGGGATAGGGCCCGCAGTCATTGGCGTCATGCTGTTGAGTTGTCCTTGCCAAAATTGGCAAATCTAAGTATATAAATATTAAGCAAATAAATTCAGATAATCTTTCTTGTTTTAGGCGCGGAGTTGTTCAGGAGTCAGCCTTGGACGAGACCCCCGGACTATGACTCTGACTAAAGATACAAGACTGACATCCTCCACTTGGTTACAAATTCAATACTGGATAGCCATTTCGTCCACTTCCTGGCCAATATAAGAGAATAATTTTAGTTTTATGAAAAGTTGAAGAATAAAAGCACAGTAAGAAACTCTGCCAATAGATTTTATAATCAAAATTGACCAACTAAGGAAAATGTTTTACAAGGAATGTTTTATAGTCATACTTTATACAAATCTTTACCTATACTTAGCCCGTAAAGCGTCAAAATATGTACGCAAGTAAATCTTAGTGAAAAAAAAGAACAGAATACTTTGTATATAAAGCTAGTAAGACAACCAGAATACTGTCATGGAATATATTGTTCATCCTGTTAATACCATTTTAATGATATTATCATGTTGAACTTTGTTTTCCGTTGTACTGCAGGATTTTATAACTACAGTTTGTTAAAGAAAACGTATTTATTTAATTTTTTTTATTTAATATAATATAGCAGGCGCTCATGAATATAGCAATTGAAGGACGTAAGAGGGTGAATTAAGAGGTGAATAAAGGTTCATAATCCATGTTACTGGTCATTTATGCAGTGCTAGATCGTTCTTTGAAACTTTTGAATCTGTGGATGAAATCCTAAAGTGTGACCATTCAAATGAAAGCTACTGAGCAGTACTTTCCTGTGGTACTGTTTATTATGCTGTACAAGGTGGTTCTAACTTTTGAGTCTGTGAATGAAATCCTAAAGTGTGACCATTCAAATGAAAGCTGCTGAGCACTACTTTCTTGTGGTACTGTTTACTATGCTTTATAAGGTGGTTCTCACTTTTGGAGTCTGCGATTGATGAAATCCTACAGTGTGGTCGTGCTAAGCTTTGCACGGATTTAGAAACAAAATCCTTTGTTTATTTAATTTATTAAATGGAGTGATGGATAATTCCTTGTCTTTGATCAGCTTTGGAAATCATTAGGCCTTTTATTGAGAGAAAATGCAAATGTTATTAAATAACGCCTCAGTGCTTCAACAGAAATATCGAAGAAAGATAAAACTGCAGAGAAGAACAATTTTAAAAAGGGTCAGAAAAAATATAACTTTTTATCTTATTCTTCCAAAACTGAAACATGAACTTGACTGATTCATCCATGATACCGAAAGACAAAAACTATTCAAAGAATCGCTATTCAATTGGTTTCATTCTTAACCTTTGAAATTGGTATTCACATTAAAACAATTAGTATATCAGCAGTAGGCGGTTTACATTAGCGACTTTAAGTTTTTAATGTAAATAGGTCTTGCGCGACCTCTTGCCACTAGGATTATCGATTTTAGATCTAAAAAGACTTTTTATAGTAAGAAGTCAGTCGACAGCTAAAAAAAAGCCCCGTTTTAAGGAAATAACGAATCGTGATTAAGTGCGAAAGATGATATTTAGTTGTCAAGATAAATCTTTATTCTTTATTAGCAGAGAGATGACTTAGAAATGCGTCTTGACCTTATTAGGTACTGCTTGCACGTAATAAAATATTAAACTATAAGAACTGTAATGTTTGTAAATATTTAAAAACGACAACGCGGACAATAGAATTCTTCAGTTTTTGTACAATTTTCTATTTGCATCATCTAACACACATAATTTATAATTATGTACATGTGATTTTTTCCGCCACCCACATGGCTGAATCACGCCATGCCAATAAACTGATTCCTTTCCCATCGCCTATCGTCGGTTGGGTAAAAATAAGAAATAACTTCTTTACAAGCCGTCATAACGAGGATCTTGCTTGTAAAGGCAATTTCTGTAAATGTTTAAACACCAGCATGCCTGCAGAGAGCACGAAGGCAGAATGTGACGTTCACTCGTTTCCTGTCAGGCATGAAACCCGGCTTTAATACCCGGCAAATGCGATATGCAATTACTGAACTACATTTGACGGCTCACTGAAGTAAGGACTGTATTCTTGGAGTAATAAAAGAGTTTAATTTCTGATATCTTTTTGTCCCTTTTCAGAAAAATAGGTTGGTGAGACGATGAAAATTAACAAGAAACTATGAACATGACCGTTACTAAATATCGTAGCAGTTTATCTCGTTCCAAAATAACTTTTAAATCTTTTTTTCAATACTCACACCTAAAAAGTTATTTCCCTTGAAGGAACTGTTACCTCTGTTTTGACTACGACCGTCTTCCGAGATCCAAACTCTTACTTGGAAAACAGAATTCCGTGGAATTCTATCAATCAAACGGTTTGATCGCAAGGGTGGCCAGCAGGCGAAAGCTGGCGCTCTTTTTACCGTTTGATTGATGGAATTTTATTTCCAAGTTGTCTTGATTTCGAAGGTCTCGTTTTCGTGAAGCTGTGAAAATAGTGGTAAACGATTTTTATGGTATAGACCACAAGGTACAAGCTTGCATGTGTATTAAGAACCACCACCATTTTTAGTTGCCTCCATACATAGGCTTCAAAGCCGTTGTCAGTTCGAATTGACACTTAATTCGCAGAAAAACTCTGACTGACTCCAGCAGGCAGAAGTTGCTCACACATACTTAGCAAGCCAAAAGCAAAATTGTTCCTTTGTAACAAACTTATGTAACCCTATGAATTTTAAAAAGGGTTTCACTGGATCAATACACAATTGTCAAGGTGTTCTGCACACTACATGCCGGTATATTTAGTTTTGTTTCAATTCCATGGTTCGCGGAAAGCCACAGGTGCTTATAATTGGAAAGATACGGCCAAATCCCGGCCACACAAAAAGCCCAGACACACAGAAGTGGTTTAATTTATCCTTCTAAGAACGGTACGCCGTCACTGATAGCTTATTTCCAAAGTCGTCTACTTTAGTAGGGATTTCATATGAGCAATTAACTCAACCCCAGTGCAAAATTTTGTCAAAACTATTAAAGATTGCTAAGTTTTTCGGCCTTCTTGAATCACAGGAAGGCCATTAACACTATTAAAACCTAAATCGTCATTTTTCTCCATAGGGTAATTAAACAAAGTTTCTTCGTCATCGTCAAAGCTTTGAGTTTGAGAGTGACCTTGAGTTTTTTCTGAGACATCACGTATCCAATTTATGATGCGATCTTCTTTTGAGTCACCCTGTTCAGAGTCGCTCGACATTCGCCTTAAATTCCGATGGTGAATCCTCTGGTTACGATGCAACCTTGGACTCGGTGGAAGACTTCGTGCACACAGTCGTGGACTGTATTCAACTTCGGGAGAAGAATCCGCAAATCCAGCACTGTGCCGGCGCAGGTCAACACCACCAATAATCGGCCTTAAATCCAAGCTGAGAGAGAGCCTATGTGATAAGTTAGAAGGTGAAATTCTGGATGTTCTACCGAAAGAAAAGACTGAATCAGGGTTTCTACCCGGACTGGGAGTCGGCGGTCTGTTGGAATACAATTGTTTCCCACTGCTGTTATTCGGTATCCATTTGTAGTTATTGTTCTTTCTCGTGTCGTTGCTTGAAATCGGTGGCAGTGAAGATTGTGGAATATCAGTCTCACTGCCCCACTGGCGTTTCTCCAGACATCTTCCTAAAGGGGATTTAGACCGTTTAAAATCATCCATTACAAAAATTCCGGGAAGAAATTTCATAACAGACGGCTTGGATGGCAGATCGAATGGATACTGTTTCTTGATTTCCATGGTTTATCTCTTTGTTCTCTCAGCATGATGAAATGAAGGTATAAACAGACTTTTACTCAGTAGTACTCTCACTAATACCGCTCTAGAAGAAGTTAGAAAAATAGATTCGTGCAGTATTAAACGTGATATGTCCGGCGTCTCAAGGTTAACTTGGTCGGAATTCGCTCGTATTCTTTTTCACCCGGTTTATTTTGATCGGTAAACAATAGAAGTGTCAGCAAAGTCCTTTATTTCGTTACCTGGGATCACTTTACTGAATATACGCCTCATGTAAATATCTCTATTGATTGGCACAGAACTTGTTATGGTAATTGCTTTGTTTCCGGGATCATATAATTTATGTCTTGAATGCCGCTTTAATTAAATAAATACATTTCATTTACTCACGGCGCAGGTTATTACCTTCATCAGATGTACACAATGCAATTCGTAATAAGAATTAAATAAATCGTTTAAATGTTCTTTTAAACAAGCGAAATGAATCAGTACTTAAGCCATAAGCCGGGTCTAAGAGACTCTGACTCAGCAGAACTCAACAATAGTCACTGAATAGTTGCGGTCACCAGTACTTGCAGTGTCTCATACCTGCAGCCTCGACTTGAAGTCTAACCGGTGCACGTGCATCTTACATGCTGAATGCGTTCCGTCCGTTCCATCGTATGCAAGTCACGCGAAGTACTCTAGATTCAAAAATAAATGAATGAACAACTTTGTTAACGTGTCAAAATCTTCTAGCTGGCTACAAGTAGCCTACTAATAGACGACACCTAGACTCACCAGGCTCACCAGACACCAGACTCATTGGATGTCACCAGACTCATTCGATGCATGCATGTCGTGATATCGTTATCATTGTATTGGAGGTGTTACCTAAACCGCCCACATCCCAGTTCTTAACCTTATTTCCGTTACTTGACCCGACCTACAGTTTACGTCATAGCTGTTGCTAAGCAACATGAACCAACTTTGGTTGAATACCAATAGCTCACAAATGAAACGCATACAAGTACAGTACACCTTTATTTGACTTTGCTTATTTGCTTATATATATATATCCCTGCAATAAAAAAATACGCCTTAAAAACGGACGTTTTCCAGCACCCTCAGTTATAAAGAAATGAAGCTGGCCCTTATTCATAGCTCTATGATTTAATAACGCAGATAACGAAACGACTATAACTCTCAGAAGCATCCGCAGAATTTGAAGTACTCTCACAACATGCCGTCTGAATTTACAACGAATATCTAAGAGCTGGATAGCACACTTTGTACTTTTGAAATCTTCAACTATCTGTGTAGTCTGCTACACAGCCGTTTTTAGTGTCGTCACGCAACGCTCCTCCAGAAAATGGGAACTGAATTCTAATTGGCTAATCGCGGGAAAGGAATGCGGTTCGATTTTCAGCAGCCGTTAGTCAGGGGAGGAGCGTTGCGTGACGACACTAAAAACGGCTGTGTAGCAGACTACTATCTGTGACGTAAATATCTTTTTAAATTACTGAAACAAAATGTCATAATTTATTGAGTTCATCACAAGTTGCTCTGCCATTATTGAACGCAATTATGAAATATTTCCTCCATCTCCTTCAAAACGTCATCCGCTGTCAAAATGCATCGTTGGCGCCAACATTTCATCATCAATTCCCAGCAAGCATCAGTGGTGTCGACAGGGCGTTCTGGATAAATTTCCCTTTCAACTGCCAGCTTCATGGCCGCGATAGTGCTGTACCTCTCGTAGGCTCGGGGTCGATGCGTCCCAGATCCTTCGCAAAGCACCCAAAGCAGGACACCAAACGCATAGATGTCGTAAGACGAGTCGCTTGACAGACCTTTACCATAGTTTTTATGCATCTCTAATGAGATATGAAAAGGTGTTCCCTGCCGCGTCCGTTCAAATGGCTTTTCAGGTTTAGTCATATTAATCTTTGCTGTACCGTCTCTCATCAGCTGTTATCAAGTAAACATAAAAATAAATAACAATTAGTGGTCAGATTCAAGGGTGGGTTGTTAGTTGAACTATACGGAAAAGGTACACAATATTAGCCATCTCAAGCTCACAGAACAGAAACAGTTAAACCTCACTGAGAAACAAAATTATTATGCAATAAATTTAAAGATTGACAGCAAATCGACAGTCGTCGACTCCCCTTTAAAATTTCCCCTGCGGCTAAATTTTTGTAAGTCTTATTAACGCCATGTCAGTTAGCCTTTGCGAGGCTGTCAGATGGTGGGGACGTACTCGCGAAAAATAACTAAACGACTGCAACATTATCATGGAGCCTGGGACAGCAGGCTACATGTCAATCAAAGTTGTACTTTAGAATCTTTGCTTTTGAATATCAGTGCTTTCCTGCAGTTCAATTTGTTTGGTTCAAATCTAGATTTTGGTATTTTGAAAGATAACTTAAGCTAATATGTTAACTGCCAGCTCAATATAAACACCCGTTTTGCAAATAACTGTTCATCACTTCTCCGTTCTCCAACCAACGACTTCCTCCAAGAAAAAGTTAACGTTTCCTTAACATACCAAAACTGAATCTGCCTTGATGTCCTGATGTATATAACGCGCCTTATGGACCGCCTTTACCCCACTGATTACATCCAATGCTATCCTCATTCTGGTCTTCAGAGAAAGCTGACCCTGTTGAAGGGCGGTGGTCACATCTGTATCGGCCTTTTCCGTTAAAACATGAATAACCCCGGGCTCAGGTATTAACCAGCCATGGACATGGAGAAGGTTACGATGTGGTTCCCCAATCCTTGACTGTATCTCCCTGTCAATAAAGTACACATGCAGTACACAAACCAAGTTTTTCTTTATTAGCCTATGAATATAACGCTAGCATTATTCGCGTGGTGGATCTGATGAGGACTGGATTGGGGTCTAGATGGGGTTTACTGACAACTGACATTTGGGACCCCAAATGATCCCTAGAACCTTTGCGGTCATAAGTCGTACCAGTTTCCGCTTATTCTAACATGGCCTATAAGTGGCAGGTGGTCGTGAAACGGTGATGGTAATGGTTTTGGTGGTCAGTACCAAGAGTATAGATAGAAACTGAAATAAAAATGATGGTAGACGGTTGCACAACAATTTTTAAAAGAGTTATTTCAACACCAAAAGTGCAGCAAAAATCTTACTTACAGAATAATCCCGTTTGGAGGTTGTTTGAACATTTTTTACTCTTTATTTCGAGTGATTTTTACTCTAAACACACGCGGGATGACGGCTCCTGGCACACGAAAATACTGTTTTGGACTGAATGAGCCCCGAAATATTGACTCCACTTAAGGGATCCCTTAGGAGGGATATACTTAGGAGGTATGATGTATTCTCTCCGAAAAAAAACACTGGGACCCAACCTCGTCCCCAGGGCTTTTCCCTCCACCCTTTTTTTAAGGGAAAAGCCCTGGGGACGAGGTTGACTGGGACCTAGTTGTATAATAGAGATGTTTTTCTGCGTTTTTTGCGCAGGAATCTCACTAACTTGCGCAGAAATACATAACCGCCGATGACGTAACAGCCTTTTGTCTTATCTCATAAATAAAATGCGGTGGATTCTCATTATCTTCCCTTTTGTGTATCTCTAATTGAATAGATCTTTTTTTACGGGGAGGCTCCGCCCCGAGGTCCAAACCCTTACCTTTTTATATACCATTTTTCGCGAAAAAGGTATCCCTTTCACATACCTTGTTTAGAACTTTGCATTCCTTTTAACTGTAGTAAATGCACATCACAAAAATAGAACGTTTTCTGGACTTTATAAAGCCATAAAATTCATCTGTTAGCCCTTTTGGGCCCTTTCACAGACCCAAATGACAGATTTCCCTCCCCTTTATATACTTCAACTAGTGAAATCCCTACCCTTTCATATACCTGAAGCCTGAAAACGATACCCCTTTCGGGTGGAGCCCCCCGTATAGGCCATCATAGGGAGTACGCCCCTCCCTTCCCCGGCAGACTAACGTGATTATGCAAGTTCTTTTTTCCTGCTGCTTTCATTGTCCAACAAATTGTTCCGATCAGTCACTAATTCTTGGCGCGCAAATCGTACGTATTTAATGAGGATGAAGGCAAACAAGCCCTTTCTACCACCAAAAACAAATTTTTCTTTTTCCCGCCTTCCTTTTTTGCTTTTCTACATTTCTATTGTTTTCCCTGCACCACCACCACCACCACAGCGGCGTTAATGATATTCCTGTGTTTTCACCCTACTATACTACTCTGGGTGTCCTCGAATGAAAAAGGTATTGGCAATATGAAGCAGTGAAAGGTAATATCGATATTAATGTCATGATTCATCTTAGTGGTGGGAAAATACACTAGTTATAGTAACTCTTGCAGTGTTCGTAGTAATTGCTTTAGCTACGGAATTACCGTAATGAGCACGATTTTGTCAAGGGTTTTTATCTATTTTTAATCTATTTTTGGCTCTAGTTTAAAATTAATCAATGAAAGAATTGTAATCTAGTTTTAACATTTTAATTTCATCTTAATTGAATTTTGTAAATAGTTTTATTTCTTGTCTATCTTGTTATCTCTATTTTGTAATTATTTGTACTTTTATTAGTAGGCCCACATCAGCCTATGGCTGCCCTCCTAAACCTACTCAAAGTATGTATGTATGCATGTTTATATATGTGTATGTATGTATGTACTTTAAAACTAAAGAGCTGCTTACCTGGTGTTAAAGAGGTCTACTGACGTCTGTTCCCACACTTCTGCTTCCACTTCTTCCTCTTTGATCACCTTCACCACGCATGCACCACTGGTCGATTCCTCTGCCCAACCAGCACACTCATGAAGCTGAGCATGTTTTGTGACTTTCAGAACTGGACCCAGTACCAGTGGTCCCTTGGTTAACAGGAACTGCAAAGCAAGAGCTTTCACGACAAGGTGCCTCACTGTGGGGACATACAATGTGGCCATTTCCTCCATTTGTTTAGAGGTCTTGGTTGAGATAGGGAAACTCAGTTGACTGAGATCATCAATGACTTTAAGGAAGGCATCATGCATGTCTTCCAAACTTTTCGTACAGGCGGCACAAATTGACTCAGTGATGGCATTGCTGTTTAATTTTGAAAATAACTGTTCCATAATTTTTCTTCTGCTTTGCCGGTCCTCCAGATTAGTGACAGATCTCCACTCAGTCATCTCGTGAGATATGCCTTCCGTCAACAGCTTTTTCAAGATTTTCCTTAACGCAACGAATACTGTCATTTTTATGAGGTTTAGCCTGCCAACATTCGTTTGGGGCACAGTGGAACTCTGTGTTTTAAGCAGTCCTGATCCATATGCTACTTCGTATGCAACTTCTACAAGTAGATTGCAAATTCGTCTTGAATGAATTTCAATGTGGTCGGTTGTTCCTTTTAAGAAAACCTCTAAAACACGTTTCAAAACATTAAAGGCCCTATCAAGGATTGCTGCTTTCATACTGGCCAAGAACTGCAAAAGTGGGGCGTCTTCTCTTTGAGGGGAAAACTCAGGCCTTTCTTCGTCCTCGCAATCCTTCATCAGCAATAGATAATATACCTTTGCTTCAAGCTCAGGCGCTGTCGAACCACTATTTATTTCGCGATATTGATATCGTTCTGCAGCTGACATAAATCTTTCTTTAAGATTTATGAGATTGCAGTTAACCAGCATTCCCAGTTTGTCTTTGTTTGCAACAGCGGACATCAATGTGTCATGCAATGATTTTCCGATACTTTTAGCGAAATCATAGTCTAAAGAACTTCCAAATAGTCCTAGTGTACATTTCAATGTCTCCCTTTTCATTTCTATGGCCTGAACAAGAGCCATTTGGAAGAGAATCAGCTTGTTTACCACTTGTTTGGCCTGCAGTTTGACAGTTTCGTCTAACATCGTCAACAATCCCTCTTCAAACCTGGCGAAAGCCTCTGTTGCTTTGCCACTTCTCTTGTGTGTTCTTTCTTCTCGAACATCTTGTGCTGATATTCCGTAAAAGCAGCAGCATGTTTCATATGAATCGTCTTCATCTATGAGGCCGTGATCCTGTAACTGGGAAAAGACAGTTCTCTGCTTATCGAATTCTATTGTCGTTTCTTCGTCTTCAGAATCGATCTCATCAGAACTTCTGTTGTCGAATTGTTTTGCTTCTGCTGACGTGTCTATCTTGTTACACACGAATATAAACGACAGCTGCGGAAATGTATCTTGTATGAAACGGATTGTGTCACGGTCCTGCAAGAAAGAAAAAGGTTGCAATTCCACTGGCTTTAATTTTGCCTTTTCAGGCAAAAAGGCTTAAAATGTGATCTTGGTATCAGATGATGAGCTATGGTCATCTCTGACTAAAAAGTTGAACAATGAACTTCAAAACCGTTTAAGCTAGGACCACCAAATTAAACGTGGCGAATTTTCCTAAAACTTATCTGGGAACATTTTAAAGTCACCGTGACGTGTACGTCAATATTATTGTTACCATGGCAATCGAGTTTTGACCACCATGTTTTTCAAAATATGCATTTTCTCGAAAAATGGGTTTTATTTCTATTTTTGCGGATTGTATTATTACATTACACTTTATTTGGCATTATTTTATCAAAGGTATTGTAACTGTTAATGAAATCAACGGTTTTTAGTGACTAGTTTGAGAACAAACATGAGTTCAATATGACCAAATGGCAGATGCCGAGTTAAGTTTTTAACAGTGTTCATTTCTCTCGGAATTTCATATTTTGCTGAGTTTTTGGCCTCCGAAGCATCCTTTTATACTCAGATTAAGTTTTCTGTTAAAATACCTCGATTTTTACTAGTTGTAAGTAAAATGGAATACATTTAAATAATTCAAAATGTCGGATCCAACATGGCGGATGATTTCAGTTCCTTTTTCAGTAATAAATGACGTCATTATGACATCACTGCTATTGTTAAAGATCATTTATGTGTCAGCCAACTTCCTTGATTTTATTAGAGACCTTACTATTCAAGTATTTTTCGTTTTATGCCTACTTTGAGGGAAATTTGGATTCTTCCAATAAACTCATTCATATGACGTCATAATGACGTCAGATAAAGTCGATGTGTCAATCACATTATAGTGTGTAATTTTAGTGGCCGTGGGATGAGCGGTTTTGAAGTTATAGAGGCTGCCGAGGGTCCCCCGGGTCGCAGGAAACAAAAAAACCGGTCTGAAAAAATTCCTGGCCATCTGCAATACAGGGACCGGCCGTAGGCTTTGGTAGATTGTGCTCGAAAAAAAAGCAGGTTATGCTTTTAGCAGTGCTCATATTTTAGAAATTATGCCAAAATTATGCTACTTTCTGAAAATTATGCTCTCTGTCACCGAAATTATGCTACTTAGATTTTACACTGATTTCAATTTTGACTTTAATGAACATTCATATAGTCCACCTTCCAGTCTTTCAGTCTTTAGCGTGGCAAATACGCATGTGCGCACATGTCTCGCTTTTTTGTCACTTTTAACTTCTCTTTGCCTGCGGCACGTTTTTTGGAAGCCAAGTGGTTTTTGAGAATGCTTTTTTTAGAGCTCAGTATCTCCTTACACCTATTGCAAAACAGTTTTCCACCTCGAAGACACAAATTTTCCCCTGGGACTTCTTCGATTCGATCACGAGGACTCATGTTGTTTGGATCTGAGTTACCTCTTTCATCGTACTTTCCGGTATTACTATTAGGAACACGTTCTCTAGAGATTAAAGCTCTCGGTACGGCACTGGAAGTGGTGAAAGTGGATGTACTCGAGGACGACGCCATCTGAGGGGCCGAGCCGCCTAGCCATAAGCGTGGTGGCCTGAGTCTCAGTCTTATGCACAGGGTAACCTCTGCCGCCTGCCGGACCATATTTGACCATGGGCCTTAGCACAGACCTCAATATTTTCCAAATACATAGAGGATATTACACGGTGGCGAGAAGATATGATAAAATACAAGCTCACCGTTCTTGTTATAGAGTGCTCACTCGCTTCGCTTGCTCACTCTATAACAAGAACGGTGCTCTTGTATTTTAAGTAATCTTCGAGCCAACGTGTAATGTTCTTTTAATTATATGGAGAAAACAATTCAACAAAAGCAAAAGGCAAGAATCGTGACGTCATTGAACGATACGACACTCACAAAGGTGACATACGGAAAATACGCCACTCGGGTCCCGGATGAAGTGGCGTATGGAATCTACGAGTGGTTTAGTTCCCATTAAAACACTCTCCTCCATATAATAAAATACAGAAATAAAATACAAACTGAATTATTCTAGACCTATGATGGGTTTTTTTGTTTTCAACGCATAAAAGCTCGGATTATGCCAGCAGTGCTAAACTGAACTAAAAGCTTAAAATAATGCTCGCTTTGCTGAATTATGCTTAAAATTATGCTAGCACAATCTACCAAAGCCTAACCGGCCGTATGCCCTAGTTCACCTCGCTAAGAAACTGCGAGACATCCATTAACCCTTCATTAACATTCCAAGTTGTTCTGGACCGTTGTCAGGGTTCCGCCTTCCCCCACCCCACCCCCCAAAGAAAGGGCATAAGGTTCTTGGCTAGAATAGGCCATTTCTGAGTTCCCCCGGGCCTCTGTTTCAAAACGAGGGTAGATGCTCAGCCTTTGATATGGAAATCATTTTTCACTCTCATGCAAATAAAACTCATTTTCAGAAGAAAAGTTTTGCACCTAGCCTCATTTTGAAATCGAGGGCTTTTGGAACTCGGAAGTGGCCTATTGGAGGCGATGTCTATGCATAAAGTGAGGAACCATCCAGCGAAAACTGCATCATGGGATCCGCTTAAGGTGTTCGAGTTATTCAAAGTTTTAGTGTCATATACTGTTATATGGCGGTATGGTAAAGTGGTGGTGCTCTAGCGCTTTTCGTATTTCCGGGTTCTCATTCTTGTTTCTGAGGGCGTTGGGTGATTGTCTACCCTAAGACCCATGCTTTAAGTGACTTGACTTGGCACGCCCAAGTCTCTCACCAAGCTGCACGAGCAAACAAATTGTTAGGTTTCGTTAGGAGGAACTCTAGGTTTATTCACAGTACTTCCGTAAGGCGCACATTATACCTCGAGCTCGGGCTAGTTCGTGCTCATCTTGGTTATGCACCCAGGTCTGGGCGCCCCAAGGCATTGAACTAATTTCTAAACTCGAAAGTATCCAAAGACGTGCCACCAAATTCATTCTTTGCTTGCCTTTTTTAACAAATATCTCTTACAAAGAGAGACTAATGTCTGTAAACCTACTTCCTGTGTGCTACTGGCACGAGTTACTAGATCTAGTATATTTTTACAAGGCTACGCATAATATGATTCACTTAGATCCGTCTGTTGTGCCCTTCGTGCGCGAATGCGAGCGAAGGACCCGTATATCAGTAACAAGCTCTCAATCTTTTGTGCCTAAAAAATGCAGGACTTCTACCTTTCAGAAATCTTTTTTCATTAGAAACACTAGAATCTGGAACCTGCTTATTATTAGACTTGACCTAGATAATGTTACTTTTGAGAACTTTAAATCTGTTCTTTACGGTTATTACTCGCGGGCTCTGACAATAAACTATGACCCGGACTCTCCAAGGAGCTTCAAAAGTATTTGCTTGAAATGTAACACAGTCAGGTTTTTAGACCAAGAAATTAGCTGCTGCATGTGATTTAAATTGCTACTTTTACATCTTTTTATTTTTTGGGTCCGCAGTAATTGGCTTTAGCTGTTGCGGTGTCTCTTCCCAAATATTTAAGTTATTATCAGTGTATTGTTACGTTCTTATTACTAGTGTTTGCATATCCCCAGTTTTTGTTTTGTTTTGTTTTATTTTGTTTTTTTGTTTTCTTCAGGGCAAAGCTAATAAAATAAAAAAAATAAAATAAAAATTAAGTGTGTCGCCATTATGACAGCCGCACCTTTCGGCTTTCAGAAAACCCACCGACTTCCAGTAATTTCTACCTTTGTTCTGGATTGAATTCTACATTATACTGGAGAGAAGTTAAAAATAACCACTCTGTGGGAGTCTTAAAACCTATATTTTGTCGATTCTGGACTAACGACTCCATTAAACTGAGGGTATAGATATGGGTTGTTATCGTCTCCCTCGCAGGAGCATATCATGTTTTTATAGACTTTTCTTTAAAAATGAGAAGACATCGCAAATTTCGTTGGTAACAAAGTCGAGCTAACCAGCAGGAGTACCCAACGGATCCGCTCCTCAAATTATCCGCTCCTCAGGCTAAGAATTTGCTGGCTGGTAACTAAATAAAGGATGAGAAACTCTTGCTGGGAACTTTGCCGAAACGCTTTTCTGGTTGTGGTT